AGATGATGGATGGGTGGGGTGTCCGCAGCCCTGTTGGACCCTAATGGGTTCGTGGTGGGGGTGGGGGTAGTGGGTGGGGTGGGGGAGGGATGTGAATGGGCAGGGGGGTTGTGCTGGCGTGGTGAGGGGTGGGTTTGGGGGAGTGGGTGATAAAGGTGATAAACCGATGATAAATGATAATAGGATGGTGATAACGATGATGGGGAGGAGTAGGTGGTGGGTGGTGGGTAGTGGGTAGTGGTGGCTGGCGGGTGCTGGGTAGTGGTGGGTGGTGGGTGGTGGGTGATGGGTGGTGTGGTGGGTGGTGTGTGGTGGGTGGTGTGTGGTGGTTGGTGGGGAGGGTGTGGGTGGTGGGCGTGGCGGGTGAGGGGTGCCGGGTGGTGGATAATAGGTGGTGGGTGGTGGGTGGTGATGGGGTACGAGGCAAGGGGCTGAGATAGGGGGGTGGGTAGTGAGGTATGAAGGGGGCGGGAGGGTGGAGTGAGGGCAGGGGTGTATAATCCCTGCGAGCCGCGACCGAGCGGAAAGCCTGTAAATGCCGCGTTCAAAAAACGGCCAGGGATCCCACACATCTGCGGGCAAAATCTGGCGGAAGTGATCCGCCGCCGAGCAAAAAGCCTGTAAATACCGCATTAAACAAAGGGCCAGGGATTTCACACATCTGGTGGCAAAATCTGGCGGAAGTGAGCAGTCGGTACTTCTGTCAGATTTTGCCAACAGATGTGCGAAATCCCTGACCCTTTGTTTAATGCGTTATTTACAGGATTTTTGCTCGGTGGCGGATCACTTCCGCCAGATTTTGCCCGCAGATGTGTGGGTGGGTGAAGGGTGCCGGGTGGTGGATAATAGGTGGTGGGTGGTGGGTGGTGATGGGGTACGAGGCAAGGAGCTGAGATACGGGGGTGGGTAGTGAGGTATGAAGGGGGCGGGAGGGTGGAGTGGGGGCAGGGGTGTATAATCCCTGTGAGCCGCGACCGAGCAGAAAGCCTGTAAATGCCGCGTTCAAAAAACGGCCAGGGATCCCACACATCTGCGGGCAAAATCTGGCGGAAGTGATCCGCCACCAAGCAAAATGCCTGTAAATACCGCATTAAACAAAGGGCCAGGGATTTCACATATCTGTTGGCAAAATCTGACAGAAGTACCGATTGCTCACTTCCGCCAGATTTTGCCACCAGATATGTGAAATCCCTGGCCCTTTGTTTAATGCGGTATTTACAAGCTTTTTGCTCGGTGGCGGATCACTTCCGCCAGATTTTGCCCGCAGATGTGTGGGATCCCTAGCCCTTGAAGTGATGGGTGAAACACGGCGGTTTGGAGCCTGCTGTCTCTTCCCATTTCCAACACCGATCCTGACGGCGAGGCTGTTCTGTCGAATGACATCTTCGCTAACTCTTTGGTAGGGTGGAGGTGGATTCAGAGGGGGGGGGGCTGGATTAGGAGATAGGTGGTGGGGCAGCCGGAGGGAGGGAGAGGCAGGGGTGGGGGTGGGGGGGGTGGGGTAGGCCCCTGAAGGGTGCAGGGGTGGGGTCCCGCCCACACCCCCCCCGTGAGGCGAAGGGGAAGGAGGGAGAGGGAGGAGGGAGTAGGGATGGGGGGTGGAGGGGATGGGCGCAGGGGAGTGGTGGTGGGCAAGGGAATACAGGTGGGCGGGGGAGAGCAGGGGGTGAGGCACTGGCCTATGACAGAACCCCATCAGTTCAATTAATTGAAATAGTTGAAATAATTGAAATAATTGAAATCCTTGTGGTCCGTGAGGCCCTTCCACGGAACCACAGGATTTAAATTAATTGAAATAATTGAAATGGGCCCGATTTCAATTATTTCAATTATTTCAATTGTTTGGGTCACCTAAATAATTGAAATAATTGAAATAGGGCCGATTTCAATTATTTCAATGATTTCAATTATTTCAAATAATTGAAATCGTGTGGTTCATCGGTTGACCTAGGAAACCTATTGATTTCAATTAGTTCAATTATTTTAATTATTTAAGGTGACCCACAACCCAAATAATTGAAATCCTAATGGTCCGTGTGGCCCTTCCACAGAACCATAGGATTTCAATTAATTGAAATAATTGAAGTAATTGAAATAATTGAAATAATTGAAATGGGGCCGATTTCAATTATTTCAATTGTTTGGGTCACCTAAATAATTGAAATAATTGAAATATCAATTATTTCAATTATTTCAATTAATTGAAATCGTGTGGTTCATCGGTTGACCTGGGAAACCTATTGATTTCAATTATTTCAATTATTTTAATTATTTAAGGTGGCCCACAACTCAAATAATTGAAATAATTGAAATCCTTGTGGTCCGTGAGGCCCTTCCACAGAACCATAGGATTTCAATTAATTGAAATAATTCAAATAATTGAAATGGGGCCGATTTCAATTATTTCAATTATTACAATTGTTTGGATAATTGAAATAATTGAAATAATTGAAAGAGGGCCTATTTCAATTATTTTAATTATTTCAATTATTTCAATTAATTGAAATCGTGTTGTTCATCTGTTGAACTAGGCAACCTATGGATTTCAATTATTTCAATTATTTCAATTATTTGGGTGACCCAAATTATCGAAATAATTGAAATCCTAATGGTCCGTGTGGCCCTTCCACGGAACCATAGGATTTAAATTAATTGAAATAATTGAAATAATTAAAATAATTGAAATGGGGCCGATTTCAATTATTTCAATTATTTCGAGTGTTGGGGTCACACAAATAATTGAAATAGTTGAAATCAGCACTGTATATTTGAATTATTTCAATTATTTCAATTATTTACAATATATATAAATAAATAAAGAAAACATAGTAGCTAAATAGACCCAAGAGGTAGCACTCTCATACCTGTATACCCCAGACACTTGGCCCTTGCTTACCAGCTTAGCTCCTGCAGGGTTTAAGGCTGCACTGAGGTCTGCCGGGCCGGGTTCCGCTTACGGGTTGGAGGTTTATGGCCAAGAGTCGTGGAGCCGTGTCTCAGGGGTTACGGGTCCTTTGTGGTTTTAGCAGCAGCCCGTCGTAAGCCTCGGCCTCACACCAGGTTCAAAAAGCAGCTTAGCAGCTTAGCGGTATAGATTTGCAGCGTAGAGCACATTGCAGCTACAGGTGTGAAGTCCGGATTTTGCATTCTAGGGATGTGGGGTTGGAGTCTTAAACTCAACTTAGCAAGCTGTGACGTGATTCATCATATTCATCTTCATCCTCGTCATCATCAGTTTTAACATCGTTATCCTATTCATCATCATTATTTCTCGGCCGCAGTAGTCATTATATTCCAGAATGGTGCCCCTGCAAGGGCCTCCCCAGAAGGTAACCCAGGCTTTGCAGGTGGTGCCATTGAGCCTCCCGCTTTCTTGTGGAACCGTCAGATTCCAAAATGATGACACTTTTCCTGGCTGCCGGTTTTCCTGCCGATCTGTGCAATACGACATGTCATGATCCACCAAACGCATACTTAACAACAAATGCACAGGCTGCTCAAATTGCCTTTGGGGGGCCGTCGCAGTCGGGCTCTGCACCACCGTCGCAGTCGGGCTCTGCACCACTGCTTCGAATTCCGAGGGTGCAAGGGAGCAGGGCGGATTTATAGAATTGTGCTGCCCAAGGCAACGGCTGGCCTTGTCGCGAAGTTTTTCCCTTAGAAGCCGGAGTCGCGAAAAGCCACAAACCCAAAGACCTGGTCTGGTTCGGTGGCCTCAGGCTAAAAAGGCTGCGATAGCCGGATGCCCTGCCAGTATGCACACACTGAGCTCGCCCATGTAGATAAACGCAGCGATCTGGAGCACAGGTCCCGCTTACTATGCCCGCTGGCCGCGCGAATTACAGCGGGCCAGTGGTGGAGCAAGAGGCAAGTCTGGTTCTATTGCTGCTGCACACGCGCTAGTTCTGTTCGCTTTACCTTAGCGAGTTTAAGGTTCAACGTCTGGCAACGTCTTGAAGTTCTGTCCTTACCTTTGGCCCAAACTACATACAATGCATGCTGCTCATCGTTGACGTAGCTCAAGGAGTTCTTGCGATGTGGAAGGCTTTTAAGCTCTGAAGTACCTGTCAACAGGTGCACATGAGCCAAAAGCTTCTGAACATCATTGAAAGTAGGATCCTGTGATTCCTGAAAGTCCCAAACTCGGCAATGATTTCCAACATCGAAGTGACAACCCCAAAGATCCTAGAACATTATTTGCAATTCCAAAGCCATCGGATCCCAAAACTCTTTGGATCGCGACTGACAGCCCGGGTTCTCCTGAATGGCCCCGCACCAGTGCAAAGATCGGTGCAAATCCACCTCGACTCTAATCTAGTTCCTAATCTCTGTTCAGATATTGAGTTTAACCGAAGCAGCACAACGCAACTTCCGGGTTTGAGTCGTTGTGTCGTGGGGCTCCTGGGTTACTTCAGGAGTCGTAATCGCAGGCTTTCGGATTTGTTCCACAGACCCTTCTTGTACAACCCGAATGCTAGAACCACGTCAAACCGCTCACTGGCAAGTATGATGAAAGAGAACCCTTAGGCACAGGCCAAGAAATTAACCAGAAGAGTTGTCCTGGCCGAAGCGTCCCTTGGTCAGTCGTGGAAGGTGTTTGTGTTAGAAGCAACACAGCTGCAGAAGTGTCTAGACGTTCTAGGAGCATGAGGAGTTTAGGATCTCTAGCGTATTTGTTACAGCGGGGTTTCCGTGCGCAGCACTTTGCTTTCAAGCGACATTTTTAAAAGCCCGCTGGGCTCTCAAGCTCCAACCTTCGATCCAGCAAACAGCAGGCAGAAGGACCAACTCCCGCAGCCTGGAATCAAGTCGGCAACAACAAACTCTACGCAGTCGGAGTACGTGTAGAAAAAGAAAGTAAAGCTGTCACCAACTCCCTAGCCAACTCCCTAAACCCTGACACCCTAAACCTACCCCTATCGCCTGCATCCGTGCGCACTTTGTGTGCGTGTTGAAATCTACCACACTCCCAAACCCCAGACCTGGAATGCATAGCCGCCATGCTGGGGAGCGACTTGATGGAGACTACCTCCCTTCAAGATGCATTGGAGAAATTGCAATCGGAAGCCATCTCCGTCTCTTGGCCACGCAAGTGGGGTTCTTGGTCCAGTGGCGTGGAGTTTAGGGTGTGGGCTCAGGGTTTCGATTAGGGGAGAACGGTTCGACTCCTGCTGAGTTTAGTAGCGTTAGCATTTTTTCCTACTCACGCATTTTGCGAGGCTTGGTATCCGCCCAGGTCAGTGCCGCCGGCCTGGATGCACTACGCGAATGGCTTCAAGATTCTGCAAACCTTGACCGTGCAGACGGAGAGATCGAAGCCGGGGCTCAGGGTGGTACAGCAGGGCTACGGGCGTCCGTATTAAGCTGACAAGCCATCCAAGCTTAGTGGTGCTTGTGGTCATCGACGCTGCAGCAGTGAGAGAAGTCTAAGTAGTGGCGGTAGTAGTTTCGTATTGGCGGAAGTGGTGGTCGTCGTAGTAGCAATAGTAGTGGTAGCAGGAGTACTAGTAGAAGTCGTTGTCGTCGTCTTCGCGGTTGCAGTCGTAGGCAGAGACGTCTCCGCAATCGTCGTAGTCGTACCAGCCGCAGTATCCTCATCGTTCTGGCTGAGGTAGTGGTAGTTGTCGTAGTAGCAGTTACAGCAGCAGCAGCAGCAGTAGTGGTGGTGGTGGTGGTACTAGTACCAGTACTAGTACTCGTACTCACGCATGCTTGCACCACAGCCAGACGCAGGTATGGCCGACTGTACTCCGTGTCCTGCTGAAGTACCTTGCGCGTCAGATTCAGGCCCTGGTAAAGACAGGCGTCTCGGCCGAATCATGAGCCGGTCTGAGCCGGTCTAGATTCCGAAAATAAATGTCTCTGTATTGGATATTGTTTGGGCCCAATTACAGATGCCGGTCTCTCCAATCCTCAAGCACCCTTAATTAAAGGATCCTGCTCTTTAGCGAGACCCTCGATGCTAGCTCAGGCTATAGCGAAAACTTCTGCTGCGATTTCAACTATGTGCTTTGTCACCGCACAAACCGTTTGACAATGCGGGATGCCAACACTCAGTCATCTCCTCACCCCAGGCGGGCGCAAGACGTCCTTTCGCGCCGATGCGGCGGCGACCTTTGTGCAAGCCATTCGAGCTGCCTTCCGAAAGGTCGCATGTGGTGTGGGGGGTGGGGGTGTGGATTCGGAGGTTCGTGGTTCTGTAGCAGGGATGCGGACCTACGGTCAAGTGGCCGATGGCACAAGATCTTGGTTGCAGACATTAATTAACGTGTAGGATTCACTGCTGTGGTTTTGTGTTCAGTCTGCCAGAGCCGGAGCAGCTTGAAGAAGGTCTGAAGTTTTCTACTTTGGTGAATCGATTGCACTCGTGCTGCTTGTCGAGGTGTTTGTAGCAAGGACAGCCGAAGTTTTGTTTTTCCCTCATCTCTGGGTTATCGGTATGGGCCTTGTGCAAGGAAGAGCTGCCGGTAACATCAGCCACTTAGAATACTCAATACGTGATTGGAAATGCAGGGTCAAAATCGTGTTGAGGGATCTACGTGAGGACTGGCAAAAGCATCCGAGCCGAGAAGTTTACAGTGTGTCAGCGCTGTTTTTTGCTGGTGCTGGGGCCACATCACCTGCTTTTCCCGGTATTGATTAGAACTGGATTGTGGAGAAATAAGCGCCCCAACCAGGTCTGGTCTAGGACTGCACAAACTTCGGGGCTTCTGCTCGTTCGGCTGGGCCTGCCAGCTCCAGGCGAATCGGGTTGATGCAGCGGCGCCCAAACTGGGTCTGTGTGCTGTTGCGATCCGCACCCGAAGATCCCAGAACCTTTTGGAGCAGAGCTTAACCTTTCCGTGCCGAGGGTCGGCGAAGCAAGCAGCCTGACTTTACCAAAGTTCATCCGCAGCTTGGTGATGTTGGCCTTGTCGTTGACAAGGTTTTGTCGGCCTTGATGTCGGGGTTTATTGCGCCCCAGACCTCACTGTCGCTGTCGGTAACAGTTCGTCAGAATCTGGTCACGGGGTCGATGCCAAGCCTTCCAAACTCTGGGACCACGGCCTGTGAGGCCAAGCCGACAGCGCTCAGGCTCAACCATTCACCCTTCAAGCTTCGCCCCATCAAGACACATTAATTATGGCGTAAAGCAACCGACTAAGACTAGAGATCGCATCACAAGAACACACCTCAAACCTTTGCACCCCGACCAAAAAGACAAGACTGGACGATACAGCAAGCAGTCACCTCGCCTTCAGCTCCTGCTCGGCGAGGTGATTTCTGCACATGCTTGGTTTCGAGCTTTGGGGGTTGGAGTTGTTTCGGGTTCCGACCAAACCAGGGCTAGATGTGTTGCAGGGGGTCAGGCGACGTTTGAATGTCGCCCAGGAAGCTGTGGATGCATATCGAGGAGGTACTCCGCCGGGGTCCCAGATGGTCTGTCTGCCTATGAGCATGCCAGGCTGCAGGTAGGATCTGTTAAGTCGATCTAACAACCTTTCAACGGCACCAGTTCTGCAAGACTAGCCGCAGGCTGCAAGGGCTAAGACAGCAGGGAGAGAGTTGGATTGAAGGTCGTGGGCTTCAGGAATTATGCTTGGATCTTAGTTGTGCAGACTGTGCTGGTGAGCAACGAATATCCGTGTCACCAGAAGCCGGATCGCAGAATCCTAGATTCAGCGCAGACCATTGGGCAGTAGAAGTCCGTTTTGACCCCCACAGCTTTTCCGTGAACATGTGTGTGCAAATCTTGCAGCCGCTGTTTCATTCGAACTTCAAGCGGTGGCTGTAAGTATAACACCTTCCCACGGTTGCACAGTGCAGATCCCGCCAGACTGCAAGACAGGTCTGTTTCGTCCGCGGGATGTGAGCGTATAACTATGCATGTTTCTATGTGCATTCAATAGCCAGCTCCCCCTTCTCTCACTCTATCTCTCTCTCTCTCTCTCTCTCTCTCTCTCTATCTCTCTCGGTCTCTCTCGCTGGATGTGTACACACAGATTTCTCTGTGTGCATACATACATATATATATATATATGAATGTATGTATTTTTATCCAATACAATCAAACATACATGTAATTTCTCCGTGTTTCTGCATGTGCGGGCGCTCTGTTGTTTCTCCGTGTGAGAGAGCAAGAGGAAGTCACATAGTAATACAATGACAGAAGAAGATATACTCAAACATATCTCTGCATGCGCAGATAATGTCCCCAGGCGTTCAGCAGCCAAATCATGCACCCAACCTGCATTTCTACTACTGCGACTCGACGGCAATGGTCCAAAGCAGGAGATCTGACAAACTGAAGCCTGAAGCTTGCGTCGCCCAACACCATTAAAAACTGAAAGCACCCAACCCATGTTCAAGTCTCAGGCCACGAGAACATAGTCAGAAGTGTTCCACCAGGTGATAGATAGAAGCCAATCGTCTTCAGAGGACTCTCTTTTTCCACGGAAGAACCATCTGTTTATGCAGGCTCCGGTATCAAACTTTGCAGCAGCATGCTTGGACCCAAACAGGCCCACAAGCCGACACAACTGTCGCAAGCTAACTGCAGGCCGGATCACTGGCTGCACAAAGGATTTGTCCTGGTCCTCGCCGCAGCTCCGAAGCCCAAGCAAAGTGCACCCCAACCCACCTCATTTGCTGATCCTACAGGCCTTATTAAAGGCACCGCGTACAACCCTATAAGCCCCCAAAAGCTCAAAACTGCAAAGGGGGTGTTGTGCAAACTCCCAAAGGCCCTGAGCCACCACAGTCGTAAGGCCCCAAACAGCCCTTAACCTTGACCCGGACAAAGCACTGCGTAACCAGGTAAGCCCCTAGCCTTCAAACATAAACGAAAACCCCACAAGACCCGTCATCTTAAATGCCCAGGCCGAGCCATACTAACAGATTCCGTTACAGAACTTGAACAGAACCTTCAGAAGGCAAAGCAGCTCAAGAGCTTTGTGATGGTGCCGAGCTCGGCTCCCTGCGGGAGCTCTTTGGCAGTTTAGGCTTCTGGCTGCTGCACTACCGGTAGTGCCAAAGTGCGATACGGGAGAGATTGTGTTCTTGTTGTTCTATACTTGTTGTTTTCTGGGTTGGGATTCTACAAGGGTTCTGGAGGGTTTCCGTAGGCTGGCTTGCTCTCATGCTATAGGGTTTGCTTAGTTGAGAGGTGTTGGCTTTGCAGTCAACACCCCTTGGCTATGTGAATGAAGAGGGCCATGGAGTCGTTTTGTTGGTTTTGGGGCTGAGGTAAGGTTGAAGGGTTTAAGGGTAGCTTCCCGCTTGGAATGTCGAAGTTATGTCTGAAGTGTCGAGGTTCTCCCGCTAGCCCTTAAATCCTGAACCCTAACCGGGTTGGAGCTCGGGGCCCCGGAGTGCATCTCCAAACATTCCATCCCATTGGGATCTGCCAATGCCGAAGCTCGGAAATCGTGCGGTTTTGGTGTTGCCTCCCGTTCCGAGTCGGGGTAGTGCAGGCTGATGCGGTATCTAAACTACAGGCAAGGCTTCCGACTTCCCGCTGGCATAACAGTCTGAACATTGGGCGCAGGGTTCACGTGAGCGTTTTGTTTGGCTCAGCATCTGCATCCCGACAGATTGAACATCGTATTCACCCAACAGCCTGAACCCCTAAACTCCGAACCCAAGTATTGAGCCGTATCTTCTCGTGGGTATATGGAAATCCGCACACCCGAAACCGAAGACTAAACGGTCCTGCTCCCCAGTGTTTCCGAGTCCATGTGCAAGTCCTCTAGACCAGAAAGGGTTGAAGTCGAGTCCAGGCTCTATAAATGTCTTTTTGGTATCTCAGAAGCTACCTTAAAGGAAAGCGTCCCTCCTGAGGTTCTCGCCTTGGGCCCATTCCCAAACAAGAGCTCAAGGATGCATCGTCTAATAGGTTGTACAGTCTGAGTCCAGGCGATGTTTTGCTTTACTCCTCTTCGTTTGCGCAGACGTAGTCTGCATGGTTGCCTTGTCATTGTCTCTTGCTGCTGCTGCGGCTGCTGCGGCCGTGGTTGGACACTCGCTCATGTGCCAACCCCAAATGTTCAGTCCCCACACTCGCACCTCCGCACCCGACCCTCCACAGTGCTCAGCAACCCAAGCGGCCGAAGCTCTGGTTCCCCGAAGTCCTGAACCGGCTCGAAGAGGGAAACTTCCAGCGTCCACCAACCAAGAAGTCTTCGGGTCAAGGCTGAAGGGCTCAGCGCTCCGGAAGCTGGTCCGTGCGCTGCTCGAGGTGCACTCGAGGGTTGCGGCCTTGTGGATAAGAGCTCATTTTCCGGTTTTTAGGTTTTTGGGGATCTCAGCAACACACAAAGCCCAAGGTCCTGAAGGCCCTGAACGACAGAGTTTACAAGATCAGTAGGCTGCTTGTAGGAGAGTTGTTGAGAGCGTTTGCAAAAGTTGTGCTCTTTGGGAGCCATGAAGAAGTCCTTTGACGAGGCCGTTGCCTTGAAAGCCTCAACCGGACAACTTAGCTAAGCTCAAGGGTCAAGGGCTGTTGTTGGCACAGAAAGGCACAAACTCTCAATTAGCAGTGGCGAGTCTGACTTTTCACCTCCGATATCCTCTGCACTTCTGGCTGATTTGCTGCGCTGATGTAGCCATTTAGGCGAAGGAAGGCGATGGTTCGTTTGAAACCCTGCAGCTTGATGCCCTGCTTATCCTTGTCCTGAGCCAGACAAGGTGGAAGGAAGCCAGGCGCTGCCGGCTGGCCTGGAGGCGACTGCGCGCCTCATTCGGCTGGCAGAGGGGGATCTCGACGTTCCCTTTGTCTGCCAAAAGGCTGGGTTGAAGGGGTTACGGAGATTTAGAGGTGTAGGGTGTTTGGGTTTGAGGTTTCCGGAAGTTCAGAGTGTGCGGAACTAAAGCGATGGATCAGTATAGGACATCAACGCTTGCTACCCGCCAGATAAAGCTTCACGGAGCCCCAACACCCTTCAAACAGCTCCGCAAGACAACGTCAGGCACTCAGTCTACTTCGCAGCTGTGGCCAGCCTGCATCTGCTTGCCTGGCTGCGATTGCCGTGCGCTGCTCACTCTCCTTCCGAGATTCTTGGCTGTAGGGTTCGTGTAGGGCGTGTCGTTTAGCCCTGAAGGCTTTAAGGTTCGATTATATAGGAGTTTACGTATATCTGGGATTGAGGGTTTCGCGGTTTCTTGTTCAAGGTTGCTGACTTTTGAGTTTTATTGAGGTGTTTGAAACGGGTCTAGCGCTTCTCAAGTTGATGGAGAAAGGGTTTTCAAGTCCCAATCCGACACTACCCGAACCCAGAAGTTCGAAGACTGTTTCCAGGACTGGCTTCTGCAACACCACGATGATTTCGTGGCGGGCATCAGCAATGCATGGGCGCAGCACCGCTCCATCGAGAACATGGAGCCTTCCTGTCTAGTCTTTTTGCCCACCTCTACCGACTGCAATATAAAATGTCAAGGTATACGTGAGGGTGAGAAAGTTCAGGGTGCAAGGTTTGGGGTTAGGCGGGCTGTAATCAGGATTGCCAGGTCGGATTGCGTTGCAAAAACAAGGCGCCTGCGATTAAAAGTGTCCCAACGAGGTCAAGTAGTCCTGTTGCAATGAGTCCAATACCAACTGACGAGCTGATCATCAGATGTCCCTGCACCAACTCTGCTGCTCGAGATCTGTATGGTACAGCGTAGTTACGATTGCCCTGATCACTTCACTACTATGATCAATATACTATGTTACTATCTCTCTCGTTGTGAGCATGTCTACCGCTGGCACGGATACGCCATTACGCCTACCGAATCGCGAAACCAGTCTTCAAGAACCCGAAACCTGCCGGACCGGCCGGACGGAGGAGCTAGTACTTCGCTTCGCCCTGAGCCTCGACGACTTCACCGTGCGCGAGGCGCAGCTTCTCGTGCCCCTCGTGGCCGACACCCTGGAGGCACCTTCGCAAGGAGTAGGGTGAGTAGGGGGTGCTGGGGTGGGGTTCGGGGGGTTTCTTCGCGACTGACTTAAGAGCTCAGGCACACAGTTTGTGCCAAAGCGCTGCGTCAAAGACGGGCGCGGAAGCATTGTTTGTCAGTTTCGGCGCTGCGGACCACTCTGCTTTCAGTGCTCAGGGGTACCTTGCCAGCCAGCTTAAAGATTGATTGGCTAATGACGCAGGCAGATGCCCGAGCTGATGCCAGCCTTGCGGCCAGCCGTTTCCGTGGCAGTGGAAACAGGTCCGCGGTCTAGGGCTCCGACGGGGAGAAAAAGGATGAAGCTGTAAATGGACATCACTTGTTGTCCGTTTTGTGTCGCTTTACAAGCACAACCTCAGGTCTGCCCCGCTGGCGCGACTGGCTGACCTGTTGGCCGCTCTAGTCTCTGAGCTTAGAATGTTTATGTAGGGTTTCAGAACTTTGGCGCCGAGGGCTCAAGTGCAAGGGGTTTTCGTTCAGATTCAGAAGTTTGGAATGTGATACTCGCCGTATCAGCTCCCCTACAAACTCCATGTCTTTTGCTTGGAAAGTCGAGACGCCTTCAATCCCCCCATTTCGCGCTCTGGAGTACTTTGATGTGAGGGACCACGTGTCTATTTGATCCCTAGGCTAGACCTGACATGTTAGCGCTTCAACCACAAACGTTGGAGGCAACATTACAAGCCCCTGACAATGAACGCAATCTTGATCTGGCAGGTTCGGGAAAAGAAGGCCACCAACACAAACCCCAACTTGCAGCAACCCTCTTGCAAAGCCCTGAGTCATATGCTTTTGAGAAATCCTTCATCCAGGTTTGGAGAGCTAGCGGTGCCAGCGGCTCTTCCGCGGCTGCCGAGATCTGTAATCAAATCGAGAAGCGGTGCCTTCCATGGGCACTGTGTGGGCCTCGTGCAGGGTTCAGGCGAATGGTTCACCTGTCGGTTCCGCAGTGCTGTTCGATCGTGTATAGATTGTCCTTCCATTTAGGGACAGAGTGTAAGGTGTAAGTCTCTTCAGTGAGGGCTTCGGCAATTGGGGCTTATAGGTACGAGGATTAAGATTTCCAAGTTGGTCGGAAACACCACCCAATGGTTCAGTGCTTGCCGGGTCGAACATGTTGTGGGCATTTACGCGTTCCCAGAATACTCTTCAGTTTCGAAAACTCAAAGGATCGCTGTCCGTCGTTCCAACCAGACTTGTCTTGGCTTTGGCTTGGGTCTTGGGTCTGGTGAAAGCTGTCCCGGTGGCTGCGGGGAGCACACTGAAACTTTTCTTGCATGAGGTGGTCTCGTTCCATCATCAATCGCATTTGTTTGTGCAGGCAGCTATGTTTGGATAGGCAAGATCCATCCATCCTTTCGTCGTGCTCCATGCTTCTGCACAGACATTGACAGCTCAGCCCAGTGCCATCCGAATTTTCTGCTTGCATCTCAATCACGACTCCCATCATCCGAGACAAGAAACGACACGAGCAGCTGTTAGCTGAGCTCGGCTGAACCCTGTACCCTCCGTTGAACTCCAGCTGCAACCTGAACGAAGCCAGCTCTAATCCCAGTCAACCCAAGCCCAGAAGCAGCTTCAGCCGCAGCACTCCCATTCACGTGCCAAGCGTAGCGAATAGAATCCCAGATCCTGCACTTGCCTTCTCGAACTTGAGAACATTGTTCGAGGAGCAGCCTTAAGCCTTAAACCCTATAAGTCGTAAACCAGTAGGCTTGCGCAAGCCAGGTGTTTGGTGCGGCTCAGTGAGAGTCACGGCAGAGAGCTTTGTGCAGATGAAGCCGCGGAGCCTTGGCGGCCAACTTGCAGGGTCGAGTTTAAGCTTCCAATGATGTGTCTCTTTGGTAGTTTTGTCTTGGGAATCTTCCCCGTAGATGACCAAGAAAAGGGATGAAACGGGTGTGAAACGAGACGACGTACACAAAGCTCAACTAAATCAGATACGTCGATAATTAAGCCAGCATGGAAACAGATGGATACGTTGAAAACAACTCCAGGAGTAGTAGCCAGTAGTTTGAACATCCAAAGAGGACAGGTAGACCGATAGTTGGGTGGATGGACGAATGGATGGATCGATAGATAGCCAGATCGGGAGATGGATGGCTAGAAGCATCAGAAATCCATAGATGGAAGTATAATGTATGGATAGGAGGATAGATGGATAGATCGGTTGATAGGCAGCTAGCTCGACAGATAGGGTTAGATTAGTGTAGGTTAGGATAGATAGATAGACAGATAGCAGGATGGACAAGGAGTTTCAGATTTAGGTGGGATTTAGATCGGATTAGATGAGAGTCGAAGCGATGAGGTTGGGTAGAAGCATACACAGGCAAATAGATACATAGGGGCGTACGGAGTTTGTATACATATGTATGTATATATGTATGTATGTGTGTATATACATATATATATATATATATATATATATATATGTGTGTGTGTGTGTGTGTGTGTGTGTGTGTGTGTTTGTGTGTGTGTGTGTGCGTATATGTGTGTGTGTGTGTAAAGTATATGTATGCGACTGTATATGTATATTATATGTATATATGTAATTATGTGTGTATGCGTCTCGAGTGCGAGTGGCACATATGTCAATGTCTCTGCATATATATATATATATATAAGGAATAGGCAAGACAACTAGGATATCAGGCGAAGGTAACTAGGATACCAACTTCAAGGGGTTCTTGACTTCGTTGAAAGCTTCCTGGCAGTTTGTTGCTACATAAATTATGCATAGAGCTTTAAGCCCTACACACCTCGCCAACCCAGCAAACCACACAGACACAAGCTCCAAATTCCGTACAGGGTCGGCGCTGCACAACCCTGACTGAGTATGTCATCATAAGCAGCATCGCCGTCGTCATCATCAGCATCTCCGCCAACCATGGTCACCATCGGCCGTCAACAAATCATCAGCAACGACCTCATGCGTAATATCATTTTGGCTTGGAGCCGGTTCGAGTACACCACATGAGACAACTGATACTTAATCTGTGCAAAACCACGATGTTGATGTTTGCTTGTTTTTGCGGGCTGTGAGGGTCCGGTTGAAACCTAAATTCAAATCTGGCAACTGGTTAGAACAGGCCGTTACACCAATCAACCTGAACCGGAAATCGAAGAACGCTAGGCTGCAACTCTGGCCTTGCAAGGAAGCTGCCGAGTTCCAGAAACATACGAGTGCAAAGCGAAAGAAAACTATGTTAAACATGGTACAGTACAAACAACCCGAACAGGTGTTCCGATGTTCGCCTAAGCTGACAACTATTCGCACCGCTCGCAACCCCGGACTCAGGAATCCCAAAAAAGCAAACCCGGTGCTATCAATGGCCCTGCAATGCCTTGCATCTTGGACACGGTTCGAAACAACAGAAGAATATTCAAGGAATGGGAAAAGCCTTCTTTCTGCAATTTGAATTTCCGGTGCAGCTGTCGCAATCGCGTGCGTTTTGATCTTGTAGGGCTTCAGGGTACAGGTTGCAAGTGTGTATACCTCCAGCTCATAAGAGCTGCTTGGAGATCGAGTTGACAAAAATCTTGCGTGCTTAATACTGTCTTGGGTGCTGGGAGTGAAAACTGCAATCGAAACGCAAAGGACATTTCATGACGGTTTATCGGAATTGATGAATACGTTGGTTTTGTACTGCTACTGCGCACTCATTTCCCTGTTTAGGCAGCGGCATAAATCCTCGGCGGCGTTGCTGCCTTTGAACTCCGGCTTATGGCGGTCTTGCAATCTTGCTATCTTCAGCTTCTTGTGAGTGGCATGTGTTTCGGTTCAAAAGATCTGGCGCTGATAGTATAAAGTTTCTAGTTTGCAGCGCAGGTTTTAGAAAACCCAAATTTAACGAATGGAACAATTGGTCTATTAACAAGGTCCTTTTGGCCCTGGAGCTCCAAAATGCATGTTCTCAAAGCTTCCTACCTTGCGCCCCTGTGTCCTGACATTTCATTCATGACAGGAGGGAGACATTAGGTTGCTCCGTTCCAATATGTTTCAAAAGCTAAATGTGACCCAAAAGTCGGACACAGTATTGCCAGTGCTTCTGGTCCCGGACCTGCCAAAACTGATGGGAGCAATGCATTTTCAGGGCTTGGGGCTCCAAAATGCCGCTTTCAATTTTTTGCAGCATATGCTATCTTGTGGCCTACATGTCTAGTAAACTCATACATGATTCGTGGAAAGCATTAGCCCGCGGTGCCTCCAATGCTGTTGAACTCTGGAGCTGCGAAAGCAACTGGAAACCCTATGATGTCCATGATTTTAGGAGCTCCGGGCGTTTCTCCTTCACGTGATGTGGTTTTGGCCCATGTTCTTCCGCACTATAGTTGCAAAGACTTGCTAGCATTTTGGGGTCCGAGAACTTATCCAGCTGGTGCCAAGAATTTCCTGTTTTCTGACCCAAATGTCTGGAAATCACGAAGTTGATGAAACATTTTGTTGTTCAATTTGTTGGGGATGCCTCGCAAAAACACTGTAGTTGTCCACAATGTTTCATGGAGTTTCCGATCCGTTTTAAGCGTGACATAGTGAAAGTTGGAAGATAGAGCGACCTCGAGACCGCCAACAACTTGTGTTGTCCCTGTCCTTTGAAATTGTTCAGAAGTTATGTCGACGAAAGCAACATTGGTTGACAAAATTGGAAAACAAAGCCTGTTGTTGGGACATGATCCTCCGGAAGCATTGGGCAAGCTGGAGTGCTGCTGGGGACAACCATGCCAATTTTTGAAAAACCGTGCAAAACACTGCTCAGAGTCTGTTTTGGGATCGGGATGGTGGAATGCATTGGTCTGGTCAACAAGCACCATGGCCGTTGGCCATTGCCCCGGACTGACCGAAGTTTGGATCGAAGGTGGCAGGGGCAATGGGTTGCACCACCATCACGAGAAATCGCAACTATGCGATCTGGAGCTTTGTGCTCGTGCTGCACAGAGCAGTGGCTTGGGACTTGAGCCTGTTTCGGTCTGAGTCTGAGGTGAGTCGCCTTGGAGGTTTGTTGCAGTAGCTACTCAAAAGAAACAATTACAGTAAACCTGTCCGTCTGCATTTACAAGGCTCGTTGGAAGTGGTGGCTGGATATGGGCCGTGGGCACAAGTACTGAATCACCGAAGAGGTCGCACACGCGCTCGCACGCTCGAACACTGCTAAACGTTGGGGGCAACCAAGCAGGGGGAATCGCTTCAATCACTGCAGGTAGGGTCAGGTACGGGATGTTTGCGGGACACCTCGAGGGTGCTAGAAGAAAGTTTGAGAACATATATGATTCTTTTCTCCTGTAAACTTTGTGATGACATAAAACAGATTGAGACAAGCACAAGCCAACAACTGTGAAGGCGCGCAAACAACTGCGAAGGTGCATGTGGGATTCAACAACCGTGTCCATAACTGTGAGCAACTGTGCTCTTACAACATTTCTTGTTTGTGTTACGCCAACACTACCGCGCGACAGGGTGTGTTTTGGTGGCAGCAGCTCATACAAACCAGGTAAACACGGGCTACAAGCTGCTACACAAACTGATGGTGGACCTTCGTAAAACGTGGATCATAGCATCCGTTGTGACATACTGTGACAGTGCCACGCTGTCAGCAAGATGTTCACTCTGCTGGATCCGAAGCATGTGACCTGTTCTCTAGAGTTTTCGAAATGCCCTTATGACATAGTGATTAGTTACTTGATGAAGACCGTTGTTTGCAAGCATCGTTATCACGAGCAACATGAACAGGAACAAGCGGAAAAAGGCACTGTAACTATCAGGAAACAGACATGGCAAACAGGATGGCGTGATAAACTTGGCGTGGAGATCAATGGACGGTGTCAACTGCGCATATGGTCAAACTTCTTTCAGCTGCATTTTTCATGTGTGTCCATCCAAAGAATCAATCAGTCGAGAGCGCCCTTCATTGACAAGAAAAGATTGCAACAGCTTTTGTTGTTTCATGCTTTGATACTGGAAGCGATAGGCAGGTACAAGTATAGCGAATACGACATACGGGAACCGCCTCCAGAAGTATTGCTCAGACTGCGGGCACAAAGATGCACGAATACGTGAGTTTCAATGGGTAATAACATGTGAACAACCTAAGACATAAGAAGTACTCAAGCACAGTTAAGTTTCGAACGAAACTGTATACCAGAGAAGATAATTATACGAGTACGCGTTTGCATTTGTACATGCATGTGTTTGCATTTTGGCGAATACAGAGGTTGTGATTGTGAACCTAGCTATCGAGGTGCTACTAGACCCGAGGTTTAACCTATTGCGGACCTGCAGATATGTTTCTGCTGGAGTAAAATGAGCTGTCTTTGGTGTTTACTCGGTGCATGTGAGCGCCTGCATAGGTAGGTACTTCTGACACATCGTCATGGAATGTTACGTGATTGTTGCTAGAGCCCGATGGCAACGAATGGTTGTCGTTGCGTCATCGTCTATTCAAACATTTAGTGTGGGATCCCCATGGCAAGACACAAAGCACAGCGGAAGCATTCACAGCATGTTTCTTTCTTCTCCATACCCAAAATCGCGCAAACTAGCAGGCTTGGTACCATGCTCGTGTTAACTGCACTTGCTGGTTGTTCCTACATTTTTTCCTCTGGCTGCAAGTCTTGGGAGACAAGGGTAAGACTCATTTCGACATCTACAAAGTGCTGGTGCCCTTGACCGTCCTTCTCCGGCAGCTGAACTGCGCGGCAGAGACTGCTGAGGCTGTTTAGGGGTGACAGGTAGTGCAGAGTTGAAATCAAATCCATGCCATCCCCCAACAAATAAACACGGAATCCCTC